AAGCCTGCTTCTCCCTCTCCCACTCACCCTGCTTGTGTTCCCTCTCTCGCTGTCTCTTTGTCAAATAAATAAATAAAATCTTAAAAAAAAAAAAATAAAATGGCAATTCCCAAAACAACACTCACCTCTTCACACACACTTCCGTCTCTGCTTTCCAGACCTACAGAGTATTTCTCATCAAGCATTCTACATTTCACCTACTTCTTTATTGGCGCACACACGCACACTCCCCCATTAGACTGTCACGAAGAGAGAACAAGCTCTCTACGTTTTGCTCATTTCTGCATTCCCATCACAGACCCTAACACACAGTAGTGCTCAATAAAAAACATTACTGGGTTTTTTGCTTCCCGTGTTTCTCATTTGACGACCCAGCGATTCCACTTCTGGGATCCTGCCTTAGGAAACCACGCACACAGCCTAGAAAGAGACAATCCGCATGAAGGATGTTCTCCACAGCATTGCTTCTAACGACCAACAAATTTAAACGTAACATCTGACGATAAAAGGACACAGGGCCATCCTATGAAAGACTAAGTATCAAGAGAGAAGAGTGAAGGCCAGCGTTCACCACCACGAAGACACACCGCGAGCAACAACAACAAACGCGCAAACCTGCGTAGTTCGTGTTCAAAAAAAGGCAAAAAATACGTTTTAAAAAATAGCGGCAGAAAGCACCAAACCACATTAGTGCACATTTTTCCTTGTACACTTACGCACGTAAAAGCACAAAAGACGTCTGTGGCCAACTATTAACTGAGATCACCTTCACAAAAGGAATTAAAGAAGACTAAATTCGGAGGTAACTATTTAACTCGTACTAGAACGTTCTAGAATACTAACGTTGGTGCACTCAAACTCTGAAAGGCTGACAAACGAATGCACGAGACTCCGGGCCCTTTCAGGGCCCTCATCCCAGGCTGCCCCGGCCACCCGAGCCGGAAATCCGCGCCGGCTCCCTGCTTCCCTCCCTAGCCGCCCCCATGTCCGCGGCCAGGGTCCTGCACTCACCAGACACGGGTGAAGGATCCCTCTTGGGTTGGAGGCGACTAGTCTGGGGCAGGAACGGGTTGTTGAGCCTGAGAGAAGCGGCAGGGTCAGGGGGAGCCGGACTCCGGGCTGTCCCTCCGCGCCCCGCCGCGCCCGGCGCGGCCGCTCACCCGAACGCGTTGGGCTCCTCCACCACCTTCATCTTGGCGGCAGCGGCGGGCGCGGGCCCTGCGGGGAACGGGGCGGTCAGGAGGCGGGCGGGAGGCGGCGCACGCGAGGGGCCCCGGAGCGCGGGGACACTAACCCGGCGCCGCGAGCCCCAGCAGCAGCAGCAGGAAGCCCGCCAGCCTCGCCGCCATCGCTCCCCC